TATCGTTGCCTAACATTATACCGGTATTACCGTGAACGGTATAATATGGCCCAGCCCTAGTGCTGAACGATCTGCTGATTGTTGACTGAAGTTTGAGCCTGATCCACAAGTGGTCACGTAACTAAACGTACATGGTACTACAGGGTTCATGTGCTGGGCAAGTCTATTGTAATCATACAATATTACAGCAATATACAACTAGATAAAAAGTGAAGAATGAATGGCTAAATTGCTGCATCAGTAATTTTCATTTTGCATACAGATGAAGAAGGCTGTCAGCAGAGTGCACAGATCACTGTTTGTCCCCATTATTTTTATTTGTGAATGTGTGGATTTATTTGCTGCAATATAGAGCTGAAAAGCATCAAGAGTGCATCAGCAGGCCATTGATACTGAGGTCTGGTAGCTTATGTGATTGATTAAATGGGTCAGGCACAGAATAATAGCCAAATCTGTGCATTATTAGCCTAAAAAGTCTGTTTTTAAGTGTTTTTGAAACAATTTTTGTTATTGTGAAATGTGGGGTTAAATTGTGCTAAGTCTTCACAATTAAAACTACAAATACACAGCTTTGAGGGGAACCGCTGACTTTTTTTTTTTAAAGAAAATATGGCTGTAGTGTTACAGTATTGTCGTTATAATTGCCAACTGCTCCAGTTTACCTTAGTAAACTTTTCTTTTGGCAAATTTGGCACATTTATTTTTTTTAAACAAATGTTAAGAAATAAAGCAAAAGCTTGGATATTATTTTGGGTAAAGGAGTGGAATGAGTACATTTTAATAAGTCTAATTTTTCTGAAGATCAATTTATTTGCACTTTTAAACTCATGGATTTCTAAATTTGACATTTAATTGTGTAAAACATCAAACTGTTTCACATTTATAAATATTAAGGTGTTGCATGTAAACTGTATGATGGATCTCAATTATTGTTCCAGGCACCTCAACATGCTGCACAAAACTCATCCCACAAGCCTGTAAGGCTACAGTTGCACTAGGGATACCAGTGGTTGGAAACTACGGCACAACCATAATTATTGTGACCATGACCAATCAACTCGTGATTTTCCTGCCTTTGAATTGGTCCCTTTAAAAATATTATCAGGTCTGAGATCACTCCCAGTCAGGTTCTGTTTTCGAAGGAATATTAGTGCATCAAGATGGGGATAAAATGGCAATAAGATGGAATCAGTTTTGGATTGTGCGAATCAAATTGGCACTTAAATTCAATCTGTTTGCAACAATCACTCTAGAGTAATTCTAATTTCTAAACAAACATTTTTCCAGACATATGTAACGATGCCTGTTGAAGGCAGTAAAAGAAAGACACTTGAAAGTTGCTCTGCGTGAGCACTGCAGACCGTTTCTTTTATTTATTGTAATACAGAGTAAGAGACTAAGACCATAAACTCCACAGGACAGAGGCCAAGATAAAAGGATTCTTTAGAATCTGGAGCCTCTTTGCAACCACAGTTTATGCCATCTGGTGGCTTTCAGATAGAATGCAGGTTGGCGATATTTCCACATTGGCTTAATCTTCCCTATCCTGGAATCTACATCCATGTTTTATAGCATCCCTATCTGTTTGTGTTTGAAGCTTTTGATTTCCTTTTTACCCATTAACATTTGATTAGGATTAGAAAGTATCTTCACTCAATCTGGCGTTTGGGTTTTGATTTGTTTCATCTATTGGAGAAATAGTTGAGCTTAACAGTAATAGAGCAGAGTAATAGCAGAGAATGTACAAAGTAGAAAATAAAATAAAAAAAGGCAAATAAAAAAAGTCTGCATTGTAGTGTGCCAATATTTCAGTATGCGTGCATCTACGTTGCAAATTTGAATAAAACCGTAGTTTTGTACCACTGGCTTCATACATTTTGTTACTGGCTGCAAGACAGAGCTATATATTTGTGAGTGTTTGCTTTAACCAGTTTATCCACAGGTGATCTCAGAAGTGCAAACATGGTCAGGAGCTGGAACAGTCGAGTGTCCAGCCCTGATGGGGCTTTTGGACACATTAAACCAAATTGTGCCTGTTATGTGTTTTTTGTGTCCTGGTAGTCTGCCTGAACCGAACACCTTTTTTTCTACCAGTTGTTTTGTGATTATGGTCTGTAGGCAGGTGATTCACAATGCAGAAAAAAAACAACACATACAAATTTTCTTGAGTTTTGAAGGACTTTATGTTCTTTTTGTGCACTCATACAATTTTTTTAAACACAACAGATGGATATAAGTAAACAAAATAATACAGTGTTACTTTGTAACTGTGGAAATAACTGAGGTGTGAGATAATGGCTAATGTGATTCCTGCGTGTTTATCTGTCCAGGTGTCTGCTTTGGACCAGGAGCTGATTGAAGTTGATCCCGACACCAAGGAGATGCTGAAGCTGCTGGTAAGTCTTTCTGTAACAGGACAGAACAAGTACAGTTTTTGCGGTACTTACTTTCATCTTACTCTGCTGGGGCTTAGCGGTTAATGTATTAACTGATTAAAATCAAGGTTCTGTTATACAGTAAACAAATCCTCTCACAAATTGAATCCTCTGTGTGCCGTGTTATGCTTTTTTTTTTTTTTACCTTTTAAACACAAAAACAAACTACTGAAAAATTATGTGATCAGACATAAATCTTAGAATTAAAGGCCTGTTCCAACTACAAATGAAAATAAAAAGATGTAAAAGCAACAGGCTCACAAAGGTAATGACAGAAATAAGAAGCTGATTTGTTAGATGTTTAATGGTGGAATGACTTAGATCAGACACAGGCATCTAATCTTGTTAATGATAACAGAGCAATTGGTCTTGAGTTGGGAAATAAAAAAAATGGTTGGAGTTAATGGAGTTTGAGTGTTGAATCGTATCCAGCCAGTGAAGCTCTTTAGAAAAAGTTTGTGTAGTTCTAGAGAGGAGTTGTAGGAAGGCACATCTCATCAAGCAACATCAAGGGAGGTCACGAATCGCCTTCAGAGGAACCAGAGGGTTTGAAAACTTCAGAAAACTTTGATCCATTTTAGTGTTTCATTAAAACTGGCAGTTGTTGTGTAACCAGTGTTACTGTCAGAGTGGAGGTTGCTGTTCAGGCCTTTTAAACCAGAAGATTTTATTTAAAGCACAGAAGCATTTAAATGGCTGAAATCAGTTTGTTGGGACATATTTGCCTCTGTCCCTGTGTTCCGCTTTTAAATGGCAGAATTTCCAGGTAAAGGATTTTACTAGAATCAACCTGAGCTTGTAACGGTCCGATTCCAGCAGCAAGAAGGGAGCTTTTAAAAACAGCCACTTAAACCAGAGAGTCAAAGTGCAGCATGCCCTTAAAACTTGTTTTGAAATGTCGTAGACAGAAAAAAAATTAGATAATGGGACAACATGTGTTTTTTCCTCTTTTTTTTAAACACATATAAGTATGCTATATGTGCTGTTGTCTACTCTGTTATGTACACTACAGGCAAAGAAATAGCCCAAATCCAGTTCCATGCACGTGTACATGTATTTGGTAACTAAAGCGGTTTCTAATTCAAGACAGTTGCCGACCTTCTTGGGAGTGGACACCCCAGCAAATTCAGCCCAATGTCAGACAATGCAGTGTTCAGATAAACTGAAAAACCAAACAAACCCTGCACCTTAGATTCCACGGGCCTCAGATAGCATGTAAATGTTAAAATTGATAGCAGTATAATTAAAAAACACTGAAGGACTTCCAGGACAAACGCTCTGTTCTGTCTGTAAACACCATCAGCCTTCCAGGGACTGCAGATGAAAATGAGTCTCTGGCTAAATCTGGCATGTTTACATGATAAATTTAAGTGTTCATGTTAAATAATTTTAACAATAAGTTTTTCACTGTTATGAAGTAAAAATAGTATTACTACTTAAAATGTACAAGGGTACTGTGTTAGGCCTGTTGTTTGAAGACAAATAATTACACGATGCTGAAATAAATGTGTAACAGATGAAGGTAGTGATTTCTCTTTTTGGTCATTTATCAACAAATGCTTTTACTTGGCTTTGATAAACCACACACTTCTAAAACTACGCCCCATGGACAGAGGAGACCAGTGATATGAGCTGCTTTTGCAGCCACAGGACGTCTTGTTGTACTCTGTATCTCAAAATGATCAGCTTTGGTCAGGAAACGGTACAGGGGCAAATCTCCAACAGAGATGCAGCGAAAGAAGGGAACTATGGCCTTGTCAAAGTTCAAACCTCAACCTGATTGGGAGTCATGGGGGTGTACTTAGTTTTTCACACTGATTTTGGCAGTTTTTGTCAAGTGTGTTGTTGTTCATGTGATGCTGTTAGATCCCCCAACCATTTTGTTTAACATCACTATATTAAAACCTTCACATCATGTATTTATTTCAGGACACAGCATTTAAAAAAAAAACATGAGTGTTTATGCTGGTGCAGCCACACATGCCTGGTAATAAGTGAATATAAATGTACTCACCACAGCTGAAGTACGAACCAGCCGGGTAGTCGTGCTACACAGCAGGCCAAAATATTTGAAGGACCATTCCATCAAGAAGACGCAGACAGCTAGCTGTGTAACTTTGCTGTTGCTTTTGCATTTCCCTTGAGCCTGTATCGAAAGGTGATCATGGCGCCTTTGTTGCCAGGTCATTTATTAACTACAGGCATATAAACATGTGAGCCTTCCCTGTGTTTGCTGGACTGTCTGTTCCTGTCAGACCCTGGTGCTCTCAGACATTGAGTATTGAGTTGATATTGAGTTGCAGTCACCTCCTTTCAGATCAGTTCTTAAACCAGTGTCTTGTTTATGTCCCTCAGGATTTTGGCAGCCTGTCCAACCTGCAGGTCACCCAACCTACTGTCGGCATGAACTTCAAGCAGCCCCGAGGAGTCTAAGCTCTGTACAGTATCTTCCCAATAAAATCCATTTGGGACAAAGAGCTCTGCTGTAGGACTGGTGATTTGTGGACATCTGTTTTATGTTTTCCCTCTCCAAACTTGAGGTGTTAAGTTATCCTTTTCTCATAAGTGTAGGACCAGTTGGGTGAAACTAAATAAACCCCATCAATTATGGGCTGAAAATACAATTATGTTTGTAAATTTGATGCTTTTAAACTGAGTCATGCCAGTAATTATGTGGAGGAACAGAAGAGGCCACACAAGGCTGCTTAATATTAGGAACATGTTTGTCCTTTGATTTCATTGTTTTGACACACAATTGAAAGTCATTTTTAATAAACAGCCCATTCTACATTTACTAACAAATAATGGTTCTGATTGATCAGGTGCTGCTTCCTGTCAAATTGTGGTGGATTGCCTTTTTTTTTAAACTTCATCGAATCTGTTATATTTATGTGTTACATAATTTGATGTAGCCTTTTTAAGTCATGATAACTTTACGTTTGTCCTGATAGTAATAAAGGTTAAAGGGTAAAGTCTACTGGCAGCAGAGCAGCTGATTTGACAAAAAATAGTAGGAAAAGCGTAAAAACAATACAGGCTGAAAACAGCTGCTTTAGACAAAAGAGGGGAAAAAATAGGTAATGAAAATTTTGCATAGCTGTGTGTCTTCTAAGCCTGGGTTATGGTTACCATGATGGTGACCATAACCATAATCATGATGGCATCACTGTTAGGAGACTGGAAAATAACTGTCAAAGGACCTGTAGAAAAGCAAGTCAAACGTTTATGTCACAAACACACGGTGGAAAGCTATCCAAAGATTTTTCTGCTTCGGTTGTGCTACGATCTACTTTTTCTCATTAAGTTTTACATTAATAGTTTGAAATTACATGACCTCAACACTTTTTGTCAAGACTGGCTTTTATCATCAGAGGAAATATGACTCACAGATCCCAAAAGGCTACATTTATGCTACATATGTGTGTTGATACAAGGACTGCAAGCTTGAACAGGGTTCCTGTCTTTTGCCTGATTAGTCAGGATTTTACATACACATCTTGCAATGTATGAAAACTTATGAGAAGGCCTGTGTACTTTATTAAAAAAAAAAAACCTCTACATTTTTAAAAGCAAGATAAAACACCTTTAATGCAGCACACAAATGTTTTCACATAAAAATTGACAAAGGATTCATTCCATTCTAAAGGTTAAATCTACAATTTAAAATAGACTTTTGTGACATGATTTAATTTGCTCATAAGCACTTAAGGAGGAAGAAGTTGCAGAAAGCTCCTCGGGGGCAGTCGCACATCTTCCCAATCCGAGATCCTTTCCTGATGGCACAGTATTCCCCAAGATCACACTGTGAACACAAATAACTTTTTAATATCAAACTCTGGACTTCATGGAATGAAAATTCACAAAGTATCACTAAGACGTTAACACAACCATTCTGCTAATTTATACTTTCTTGCAGTCCAAAAGAAGTCATTCATAACTGCTGTCAGAAAAAAAAAAAGAAAGGCACAGCAAGGACGATCTCTGATGCCGAGAAAAGCACTTTTCCAGAGGGAATCATACCTTTAATCATTAAAACAGTAAAATGCTGCTTCAGCTTTGGTGCACTGTTGCTGTTTTTGATTTTTTTTTCCATTACATTTTTGCATTTTTGTTATACCTTTATTCTTGAGCACCTTTGCACTGAGGTTTAGAATGTTATACACTTTTGGAGAAATTATAAATGTTTTAAACATTTTTCGTCACAAGTGTTAAATCAGAGTATAGTGTTAGTGACTCACAGAGGGGACCTGTCCATACTTCTTCTCCCAGGGATTAATTCTCTTGGTTTGCAGTCTCTCCAGCACTTCATGCAGCGCACCAAGCTGAGAAAAACAAAAATACAACAGACGTGAAGCTAATGTGTGGTCAAAATTAAGCCTGGAAACATAGGAGAACACTTTAGTGCATCAGTCACTGTCATCCAGCCATTCTGTCATTTTCTGTCCAACAGCATTGCTCCATCTATGACAAAGGCTTTAAACATCAATTTGCCAATAATAAAACTAACAATAAGCAATTGTATTAACTGAATTTAGGCAAAAGAAGACAAGAATTAAAAGTCTCCAGCTTGACACTTGTCAGTATTTCTTGCAAAAGATATTCCACATATTTCTCATTATTGACTTGTCTTATGGCTCATGTTTTTAGAATTGTACTGCCTTAGTTAGAAGCAGTACAGTTATAGGAACTAAAGGATATTGAGTGGACTAATTAGGCAGCCAGATCTATAGGATTACATTTTTCTGTTCGATATGACATCTCGTTTGAAATACAGTAACAGCTTTTTAATAATCTGCTAAATTCATACAAATCCCCCCTCCCCCCCCCTCCATACATTCATATAGAGATTTACACTTTTCTATACACTTCAAGCACTTTGTCTATCTCACATCAATTGCCAATTTCAAATAGCCAATTAATTTAACATGCATATCTTTGTGCTTTGGGGAAAGCTGAAGCGCAAACTCACAGAAGAGATGAATCAGATTTGAACCAATTTAAATCACCATGCTGCGCTGTGTCACTGAATAACATGGAACCTGACAGCTTTTATGAGTTTGGTGCCAATATAAATAGATTAACTGAAGATGTTTTGGGTTAATTTTCATTATTTACTAATCTGATGTTCATTTATTGTTTGATTAATTGAATGAAAAAACACAACTCTCATACATTTATACTTTTCATGCTGAAAATGTCCTCTTAACTCTGAGCAATCAAATCAGTCAAACACAAAAATAAGCAAATCTTCATAATGCAACCAGAAATGTTATACATCAATTAACAAATAGTTACTAATTTATTTACATTTTACAAATTCATTGTTGCAATGAAAAACATTAGCCACCTATTATTATTACAGTTTCCAAAATTTGATCAAAAAAGCTGACACTAATGGAGATTTCACTACAGAATGAGTGCTTTTATTTTGATACTACAGGTTCAGTTCTGCATAAGAAGTTTGTCCAGCATACATTTGGAAGAGGTATATATGTTAAATACTTAAACAGAAGAAATTTCAGATCATATCCAAAGATATGATCTGAAATTGTACATTTAAAAACAGTGTGATTGTTTTTAAATGTACTCTTAATTTGATCTGTTATTGTATATTTTACAAATGTTTGTATGGGATATTGTATTTGTTTTAAATGTTATATACCTATGTGGTATGTGACTTTTGTTGCTATGATGCCAGGTCTCTCTTGGAAATGAGATTTTTAATCTCAATGAGATTTTTTTACCTGGATACATAAAGGATTAATAAAAAAAATATATAACTTTTATTAAAGCAAAGCGTATGAACCCCCTTTTCATCACAAAATACCTTTATGTGTGTGTGTATTAAAATATTAGATATTGTAAATATTCCACACTCGGATTTACCAGTCTGTTGGAGTTGTGGTAGTCCTGCACTTCTCTCTCGTCCCTCTCGGCTTCCGTCTTCCCCGCTGGACACAGCGCAGATAGTAGCACCGCGCACAACACAGCTCGTGCCCACATTTTAAAAACACAGCAAAGAAAGCGCAGTGTTGAATTTTCCAACAGTCGCAGTTGCCTCTTACTTCCTCCAGGCGTTTCTCACGCACTCTCTGCATGTTCGGCACAGCGCGGGATCTTTAGAAAAACAGCTCCGCCCCTTCCAGGTATGACGCGGAGCATCTCCCAATGGGCTAAAATGTAGCAAAGACCCTGACTGGTTCACTCCTGTTGCTTTCAGCAAAGCTTTTATCAGAAGATTAAAATACAGCACTGAAATATGTGGTATTTATAAGAACTTCTAAACATCACTGATGAAGACATCTTACTTTTTTTTTGCCTTTCCTTATTTTTTTATTTGTTGTTGTCATTTTCAAAAAAACAAAAGAACAGCTATCTTATTATGGCATATTAGGTATTACGTGAGTATTTGCAAACAAATTCGAATATTAGACAAAGATAACCCAAGCACATACAAAATTATTTTAAATAGTAATGCCATTTATTAAAGGAAACAAGCTGTCTAAACCCACCTGGCCCTGTGTGAAAATTTTGCTCCTTTTGTTATCATGAAGTGCTTTCAGGATGCTGGACTGAGGGTGGAGGTCTCAGTTCAATGTGAGTAGTGTTTGTGTCTTGACATCAGTGGTATCTGTCTACTCCTGTAACCAGTTTATCACTCCTGCTGGGTATCAGATGACAGGTAGGGCGTATGCGTTGATGGCTTGGATCTTATTCCTGCACTTCAGCTGACCACTCAGCACTTCTTTTAGATATTTGGACGTGGCTAACCTTCATGAATTTTTATCATGTTTCCGAGTGGCTTGTGAGATACTAAGGCACTTGTAGTTAATTCAATTCAGTTCATTTTTATTTATATAGTGCCGAATCAGAATGATTTTGAATTGGATTGGAGTCTGTTAGACAGATATGATTCAAACCACTCCAGTGTAGTAATTTCAGTATCTATGGCATGCTATAATCTCTGTAATAACATATTGTGGTCAATAGTATTGAATGCTGCACTAAAGTCTAGCAGAAGGAGCAGAAAAATCAGTCCACTGTCAGAGGCCATAAAAAGGTAATTTGTAATGATGAGCTCTGAAACATGACTCCATCTCTTCAGATAAACTATTTTCATCTGCGGATGATCAGATAGCTGTTTTACAACTACTCTTTCACGAATTTTTAAAAGTAAAATGAAGATTGGAGGCTGACCTACAGTTAAGACAGATGGGTCATGTGATGGCTTTTTACATACTGGTTTAATTACTACCACCTTAAACACATGTGGGACGTAATTGATTGATAAAGACTAATCTTATTTCAGATCAAAATATTAACTAAAATAAGCAGTCTTTTAAACCCGGCAGGTTTATGCCACTGCAGGGGTTCCCCTTCTCTCAGGAGTGCGGGCCCACTCATCCCATGGGGTGGCCACCTCTTGTTGAGGGGCTCCTCTGTCTCTACCATTGGTGTGGCGGAATCATGGTCCTCG